AAAAAAAAAAAACAAAACAAGCCAAAAAAAAAGAAGAGATCAATTAATGCCAAAAAACGCTTAGAATTTATTCAACGTATATGCGTATACTTGGCAAAAATATAACCGACAATTCAAAAAGATGGAATCAACTGAAAAACTGTTGAAGAAATGGAGCTAACAACAATGACACCAATACCCGCAATACGTCGCCTACTTAGTCAGAATCCTCTCACAGCTAATCCCATAATCCTTATCCACTAAAAAAAGCTGACTTTCATCTATCATCCCCATTTCTTCTTTTCAATATTATCCATAAAGCACTCATTTTCCTACCACACTGATATATTAACAAAATTTATATAAAACATAATTTATTTGCAGTTCAAAAAAAAAAAGTATCAAAAACAAAAAAATGATAAATGTGAGCGGTGTTTCGGAAAATTAATAATGAAAATTTTTCATGAAATACAAAGATAAAAAAAAAGTAAGATAACATTCTGCCGTATTGTTAAACAACATTTTTGTACCTCAAATTGCATAACTAAATGATGGATAATCGTTCGATGTTCATCGTTCTGATGGTGGCCAGCAACCTTTTAATCGTTTAAATACAACCTAATTTGAGTAAAGCTAACATTGTTAAACAGCAAGAAAAACAGTTATAGAATAACCAGAATTGAGTAAAAAAAGAAAAAACAGTTTTTCAAGACCTCTTCAAAAAAAAAAAAACCACATAAAACAAACTTTTGACTTTGTTCTTTTTTCAGCAACAATTTACAGCTGAACAAACCGACAAAAAAAAAAAATAAAAAAGTTCAACATATATTCAACAGTAAAGACAATGACACATATAATAAATAATCATAGACTACCAAAACAAATAAACGAATAAAAAAGAAGCAAAATGTTCACAGTAATAATTGAAAGTTCAGAAATTAAAAAAAAAATGCATGTCAGTGTAAAGCAACAAAAAAAAAAAATAGATATTTGTAAAACTATAAACCGATTGTATAATCAAAAAAAAAAAAAAAATAGAAAGAATATTACAGAAATGAATACAAAACAACAGAAAACGACTGTTCAGTTAAAGAAGTAACTAAATTCCACAGCAAAAAAAACTTAGATGATTAACTAAACAAATAGAAATAAGGAGGAAAACAGTAAAACAAAAACTTAACCAAACCCCAAAATAAAGTGTCAATGTCGATTGGCAACAAAACAACAGCATAATATCCGTCTATCTTATCCTCCCCTATCACCGTTTATAACTTTCAATCAAAATCTCACAACAGCATAGCTTCCTTTTTGCCTTAAAAAAATGCTGCTAAAAAATTGAACTAAAAGATGCCAATAAAAGGTGATGGTGAGAGAAAAACAGATAAATAATGTTCAAATAAAAACTCCTCTTTTTTTGTGCTTTTTCTCAATAAAAAAAAATACTTAAAGCTTTTTTTTTTTCGTACAAACTTCTAACAGGAAAATGACCAACAACCAGTTTGATTAACAAAGCAATAGATTACTATTTATCACCAAGACCAGTCTTCAACCACAGCAACAAATTACGCATATATCAAACACATCTTTATGAGCTGTCTCGATTGTTAGCCCTGCAATACTTCAAGTACCCAAATATCCTTCACAAATCAACCAATCTCACCTCAATTTGTTATTGCCCCAACTGGCAGCC